TGGCACGCATAGCATATCTGCTCCCTCTCTAAGGACCCACGGGGAGATGTTGTCCGGTCCCATTGCCTTTGAGGTATCGATGTCCCTTAACAGTTTCTTCACCTCCTCCTCATCTGTATGTATGTCTTCCAACACTTGTTGATGTATTCCTTGCTGGTGTCCCCATCTGGTCTGTCCCCCCAGAGGCCTTCCTGTCTCCACTGTAAATACTTCCTTAAATCTCATGTTGAGCTCCTCACATACCTCTTGATCGTTTCTTGTGAGTTCTCCACCTTCTTTCCTCAGCCTTATCACCTGGTCCTTGACTGTTGTCTTCCTCCTAATGTGGCTATACAGCAGTTTCGGGTCAGATTTGACTTTCGATGCTATGTCGTTTTCATACTGTTGCTGGGCCTACCTCCTTATCTGTGCATACTCGTTTCTGGCTCTTCTACTAATCTTGTTTTCCTGGGTCCTATGCCTCCTGTACCTTTTCCATTCTCTGTTGCATTTAGTTTTTGCCTCCCTACACCTTCGGGTAAACCAAGGACTCGTTTTGGTCTTCCTATTCTTTCTGTTTCCCTTGGGAACAAACCTTTCCTCTTCCTCCTTGCACTTTGTTGCCACATATTCCATCATCTCGTTTACTGATTTTCCTGCCATTTCTCTGTCCCACTGAATCTCCGGCAGGAAGTTTCTCATACCTGCGTAGTCCCCCCTTTTATGGTTTGGCCTGTCCCCTTCAATTCCTGTTACCTTCTCCACTTGTAACTCTACTATATAATCAAAACTCAGGACCACGTGATCGCTAGCTCCAAGGGGCCTCTCGTAAGTGATGTCCTCAATGTCTGAGCTGCTCAGGGTGGACACAAGATGTGTGTGTGTGTTTGTGTGTGTGTGTGTGTTTGTGTGTGTGTGTGTGTTTGTGTGTGTGTGTGTGTGTGTGTGTGTGTGTGTGTTGTGTGTGTTTGTATGTGTGTGTGTGTGTTGTGTGTGTGTGTTTTGTGTGTGTGTGTTTGTGTGTGTGTGTGTGTTTGTGTGTGTGTTTGTGTGTGGTGTGTGTGTGTGTGTGTGTGTGTTGTGTGTGTGTGTGTGTGTGTGTGTGTGTATGTGTGTTGTGATGTGTGTTGTGTAGTGTGTGTGTGTTTGTGTGTATGTGTATGTGTGTGTTGTGTGATGTGTTGTGCTGTGTGTATGTATGTGTATGTGTGTGTGTGTATGTGTGTGTGTGTGTGTGTGTATGTATGTTTATGTGTGTGTGTATGTATGTGTATGTGTGTGTGTGTTGTTTAAGCTGGACTTGAAAGACATTATGAAGGGCTAGTGTAGCTGCCACTGTGAAATGCTGGTTTATGTATCCGTAGACATTAATGCAAATTTCTTTTTAAAAAATGCACACACACAGTCTTAATAGTCATTACTCATGGTCATTAGAAGGCCATTGATACCTGGCTCACATGCCAGGTATCAATGACCTTTACTTGACTGCTAAGCCTATTCTGGCTTCCTTGTAGCCCATGATATTGTTTGTGTGAAGCAGTAATAGTTAGGGAAATGAGTGAGTCTGTTCATATGAAACTGTGCTCAGTTTTAATGACCGCTGCGTGGCCGTCATTGTTCCCTCAGAGATGCTGACTGTGAGAACAACAGTGTAACAGTGCTGAGGTTTAATTATGATTGTACAGCATCATTGTTTACTCAGAGATGCTGACTGTGAGAACAGCAGTGTAACAGTGCTGAGGTTTAATTATGATTGTACAGCATCATTGTTTACTCAGAGATGCTGACTGTGAGAACAGCAGTGTAACAGTGCTGAGGTTTAATTATGATTGTACAGCATCATTGTTTACTCAGAGATGCTGACTGTGAGAACAACAGTGTAACAGTGCTGAGGTTTAATTATGATTGTACAGCATCATTGTTTACTCAGAGATGCTGACTGTGAGAACAGCAGTGTAACAGTGCTGAGGTTTAATGATGAGTGTACAGCATCATTGTTTACTCAGGGATGCTGACTGTGAGAACAGCAGTTGTAACAGTTGCTGAGGTTTAATGATGGTGTACAGCATCATTGTTTACTCAGGGATGCTGACTGTGAGAACAGCAGTGTAACAGTGCTGAGGTTTAATTATGATTGTACAGCATCATTGTTTACTCAGAGATGCTGACTGTGAGAACAACAGTGTAACAGTGCTGAGGTTTAATGATGAGTGTACAGCATCATTGTTTACTCAGAGATGCTGACTGTGAGAACAATGTAATTTAACTTCTTTTTGAGTGCACTTGTGTGGTGTTCAAACAGGTTGTTAATGGTGGTTTGCGCATTCCTTCCGTCATCAGGTGAACTTTCATCGTGGATATACTACTAAAAAAATGGTTGTAAAAGTGTCACAGTGAGTATAAATGTTGTGGTGGGTTGTGAGCTTCGACCCTGAGACTTTACGGGAAGATGAAGTGTCACACTGCAGTACGTGGCTGGTGTTACCAACACTCTTTTTTCTCTTCCTTGGGTAAGTCACGGTTACTTCGCAGCTCTCAGGCGCTGGGTGAGCCCTTCCGGGTTTAGTTCTTCCCTGTGAATGAGAATGATGATGATGATGGTATTACGTGGTCAGGGAAGACATGACAAGTTCTGTAACTTGGCAAGTGTGTGTGTGTGTGTGTGTGTGTGTGTGTGTGTGTGTGTGTGTGTGTGTGTGTGTGTGTGTGTGTGTGTGTGTGTGTGTGTGGTGTGCGTGTGTGTGTGAGTTGGTATGAGTTAGTCTGTGAATACAGCGTCTCATCCATCATCTTACTCATCGCCACCTCACCCATCACAGTACCTCACCCATCACAGTACCTCACCCATCACAGCACCTCACCCATCACAGCACCTCACCCATCACAGCACCTCACCATCACAGCACCCACCCATCACAGCACCTCACCCATCACAGCACCTCACCCATCACAGCACCTCACCCATCACAGCACCTCACCCATCACAGCACCTCACCCATCACAGCACCTCACCCATCACAGTACCTCACCCATCACAGACCTCACCCATCACAGCACCTCACCCATCACAGCACCTCACCTCATCAGCACCTCACCCATCACAGCACCTCACCCATCACAGCACCTCACCCATCACAGCACCTCACCCATCAACTCTTGCCTCACTGCGGCTGTTTACTCAACAGACGATGACGTTCGCTCTCTGTAACCAAAAAACAACAGCAAGAGAAACAAATTGATACGTAAATCAAGTTGCCTCGCCTGCTACTTACAGATGATGTCATCACCTCAGGGATGAAGATGGTTCGGGGAGAGGGAAGTGTAGTAGGTGTAGGTGAAGCAGCTTTGAGCGTTCAGTCCTCACTGGTGTTCTGGCGACAGTAGTGAAGAGACAAGTTTTCAGAATGAGCTTTTATTAATTTCTGATGAAGATCTCACACCGAGATCGAAATAAAGATCAGCTATTCCCATTTATATATATATATATATATATATATATATATATATATATATATATATATATATATTATATATATATATATATATATATATATATATATATATATATATATAGGGAAGTACCACCTCTATAGCTGGACTGGGGAGCCTCATCCTCAGAAAAGACAATAAACGTACCTCAGGGAAAGTTCAAGGTTCTCTCTGGAGCTGCTTGAATTTTTCTTCTACCACCCCCTATATTTTATATTCTATGAGAACATTTATTATATATATATATCATATATATATATATATATATATATATATATATATATATATATATATATATATATAATATATATATATATACACACACATAAGATCACAGTAAACAGGTGATATCAGAATAGGCAAAACAACCACTGTAAAAGAATAGTGAAATTCCAAGCGCTTTCGTGACTTTTCAGATTATCAAGGAACTAAAGTTCCTTGAAAATGCGAGAAGTCACGAAAGCGCTTGGAATTTCACTATTCTTTCACAGTGGTTATTTTGCATATATATGCATATACAGTGGACCCCCGCATAACGATTACCTCCGAATGCGACCAATTATGTAAGTGCGTTTGTACATGTATGTTTGGGGTCTGAAATGGACTAATCTACTTCACAATATTTCTTATGGGAACAAATTCGGTCAGTACTGGCACCTGAACATACTTCTGGAGTGAAAAAATATCGTTAACCGGGGGTCCACTGTATATATATATATATATATATATATATATATTATATATATATATATATATATATATATATATAATATATATATTTATTTATTTATTTATTTATTTATTTATTTATTTTCCAAGAATTTACGAGTACATGTATTTTACGTCAGTCGTCGAAGTGGACAGCGAAGATTCATTGGCTGGAATGCAACTTTAAAAGTATTATTGCTGCTGCAATTATTGATTCAAAGCATTACAGCAACACTAAATTCGAGGGAGGAAAAGACTTACAGTGTGTCATTGGTGGGTGGTCGGAGGTTGTGGGTGGGCGGGCGTGCGGTAGGGGTTGGGTAGAGAGGAAGGGATTTCTCTAGCACATGTGGTGTCCTCGATTATGCTGGGGCATCCCCATACCCTGCTGGTCGGGTGTCACGGCCATGCTGTCTCTTCTTCCTGTCAGGCTGACGGGATACACCGGCTCCAAAATATTAAATTGTACGATAATTTTCCATGTGTCGAGGATGACATTTGTATGTGGGTCATTTGTTTACTTAACCGCTGTTAGTGTAGATTATAGTGACTCGTCACGTACACTCTATCTTGAGATGAATTCCTCATCAGGATATAAAAAGAGTTCAGGTGGATGTTTAGTGGGCGTAGCCATGCAGGTCACCAGCTGGTTGGTGCGGGGCTTGACGTTGGGGGGGGGGGGGGGGTAAGGGCTGATGATCTAGGTGAGTAGTATCAAGGTTATCCCACTGTCCACTGATGCTGTTGATGAGGACGGTGATGTTAGAGCCGGTGACTTGTGCCAGGATCGTGGAGGCTGCTTCAGTTGACTGTGTCACATTGATAGTGGTGGTGGTGGGAAGGGGCCGGTCTCAGACGGTAGTACTACTCATACACTGCCCTGGGGGACTACTATAGGGCCAACACTAGTACTGCATTGAGAAAAACACGAAGTATGACAGCTGTAGAAGACACGTTATTGACAAGGTGAGTGTAGGTAGGGTAGTCAGTCATTCAGTTATTAGCTACATGTACCTGTACGTCTACTGTGATAGAGAAGAAATCCAAAGTCACAATAAGTAAAGTGAAAAATGTACAAAGTAGAACTGACCTCTTATCTGGCATTTAGGACAAGCATTTATCTTGTTGTTCTCTCCATTTTTTTTCCATCGTAATTGATGTCGTGAGTTACGGTACTCTGCCAAATTGTAACGAGTGTTTTAGGCCCTCGGGTGAGGATAAGCGAACTGGTGGCTACGCTGATGAGATCACCAGTAAAACTCAAAGACGACTACTTGACCCAGTCAAAAACTGGGCCAAGCTATATTCCAACCCAAAACCGGTCCAATGTAAAAAATATAGAGAAGGTTCTTCAGCTCGTGGCGGCTTTGAAGTTCTCATTAGATACGCTGAGATTGACGCTGACAACAGTGACTTTAACAGTTTTTCCAATGATGAATTAGGGAAGACTCCTGCTGGAGATGTGACGGTGTCTGCGCCGATGTGGCTGCTATTGGAACACACGTGTGAGCCCCACTGTACCCAGTACTGTGGCCCAGTTTTGCTTCATGTGAGCCTTGACGTGTGCAGGTGTGTGCCACCACGAGCTGTATCACAACCAAGACTACTGAATGTTGCAACAGTTTACCAACCGCAGCTTCACTAACATGACACATGTAACGTAACCTAGACGTAGTAAACATTACAACAGTATAGCCAACCTCATTTATACTGAATATGAGACAGTGTAACTAACCCATCTGTATTAAATATGACAAGGGAGAAACTAATTCCATCTTTAAGTGAATATGACAGTAGCGTAACTAACCTCATTCTACAGAGAATATGACGGCTGAATGACAAAACGATGTCGTGATGAATATGACACCAGTGTGGCTAACTCCAGCCCGCAGTGAATATTACAACAGTATAGCCAAGTCAAGCTCGGAGTTCATTATATATTTAACTAAACATAGCTGCAGCAAATATGATTACATTACAACTAGTACAAACCTTGTTGACATATAACATCAGTGTGGCGAGTCGCAGACTCATTGAATATGGCAGGCATACTCACCATTGTGACGGTGATAGTTGAACCAACCTTCCAAGCTAGATAGCCAGCATTTGCCTCAGTGAACGTGAGAGCTGTGCCACCAGCTGTCACCCAGGATGAACATGACTGTAGTGGTGCCTATACACCTGCCCGGGTGCGAATCCAACTGTAACACCGTTGTTGCCGGACAGTGAATGACAATGGTGTTGTCAGTAGCCAGTCACAGTGAACGACAGCAGTGTTATTATTATTATTATAATCTTGGGGAGCACTAAACCCGTAGGACTATACAGTGCTTGTGGGGTGGGGGTGGAAGGTATTCAGGCTTAATTCAGGGAACCGGAGCACAAATCCAATTCCCTAGAACAAGAGCCCCTCACCAGCGTCAAGGAACCTCCCTTGAGGGGACAGCAGTGTTACCAGCCATCTCTCTCTCACTCTCACTATCTCTCTCTCTCTCTCTCTCTCTCTCTCTCTCTCTCTCTCTCTCTCTCTCTCTCTCTCTCTCTCTCTCTCTCTCTCTCTCTCTCTCTCTCTCTCTCTCTCTCACACACACACACACACACATAACAGTCATAGTTACCACGGCACTAATAACACATGCGATAAAAATCTTAAGGACAATAAAGGTGTGTGAATGAGTGTTTGATGGCACTACTCACGCCAGGAGTGTCACGCAACTCCTTGGAGTGTCATGCAGCTACTGGGAGTGTAACGCAGCTGCTGGGAGTGTTACACAGCTGCTGAGAGTCTCACGCAGCTGCTGGGAGTGTACTCAGCTGCTGGGAGTCTCACTCAGCTGCTGGAAGTGTCACACAGCTGCTGGGAATCTCACACAGCACTTAGTAATATCACAGCTGCTGGAAGTGTCACACAGCACCTAACAATGTCACAGCTGCTGGAAGTGTCACACAGCTGCTGGGAGTGTCACACAGCTGCTGGGAATCTCACACAGCACTTTGTAATATCACAGCTGCTGGGAGTGTCACACAGCACCTAACAATGTCACTGCTGCAGGAAGTGTCACACAGCTGCTGGGAGTGTCACTCTGCAGTGTATTTATATGTAAGCGACCAGTAGTGTGAGTGTGTGTGGCTGTGTATCCTGGATTTCCGTCTCTATTTCTGCAACATTGTAAGCTTCTGATGATGTGATGATTGCAACACGAAAGACTTAGAGCTATCATTCTACTCCCCCTGTGGTTGTTTTGCATCTTGTATTACTCGTTCGCGATTATTGCATAATAAATATCTCTAGATTCCCTCATTAATTAGGGTTATCATAATGATAGATATTTTTTTTTTATATTTCGCCAGTGTTGACAAGTCATTTATTCCTGGTAACACTAGACAGACCAGCAGTTTTGGCTGGTTAATGATTGGGTTTTGGAGACAGGAGGAGTTGCCTACTCAGTAGAAATGAGCTTGTTGTTTAGCGTTAGTGAATCAATGGTGGTGAGAGTGTGTAGGCCATGTTGACATTGTTTTCCTGCCGCCTTCTCAACTATCCTCTTCATTGTGAGGTACACCAGGTTGCCATTCACCTGACATTTCTAGCTTTTCGGGTCAGTCCTCGCCTACGTGTGCATGCTGCTAACAACACCGGCATTCCCGTGTCAGCCCTCACGTGTGCATGCTGCTAATAACACTGGCATTCCCGTGTCAGCCCTCACGTGCGCATGCTGCTAACTACACCGGCATTCCCGTGTCAGCCCTCACGTGCGCATGCTGGTAACAACACCGCCATTCCCGTGTCAGCCCTCACGTGCGCATGCTGCTAACTACACCGGCATTCCCGTGTCAGCCCTCACGTGCACATGCTGCTAACAACACGGCATTCCCGTGTCAGCCCTCACTTACGTGCGAATGCTGCTGACGACACCTGCCTTCCCACATAACAGAGCTCTGGTCAGGTCCATGATGTTATGTATTGGCTGGCATGTTAGCAGCATGGCTGACCTGAAAGCTAGCAAAGTCTCCCAAATCACCCTCTTACATGCGATATCCAGCGTCTGCCAGACTGATGGCTGACCAACACCACACTTGTCAACACATTATTTGCCCGTCCACATTAAATATTCCAGATTCGTATGTCAAGTTCTTTATGCCAGTAGATTTAGGAAACAGTTGAGTGCAATTATAAAAGGTGATAATCTCTATAACGTGAATTACTGTAGAACTGAGAAAAATAAAGAAATAAAGATAAAAATTAATATTAAAAGCTTCGTTAATGTTAAGTTTATTGTGAAAATAATAGCGTATAGAGGTGATAAATTAGAGAAAACTTCTTTATTAAATCAAACTCATTGTGGAATACAGTAGTTCCCTGTACCAGACGAAAGTCATATCTTAAATGAATTTCCCACACCCACTCCGGCACAGATTATTCGTATGTTGTGATTCTTAAGGAAGAAAATGAAGGTAAAGGAGTGGGAGCTGCCCTGGCCAGGTGTGGGCGCGGCTTGGCCAGGTGTGGGCGCAGCCCTGGCCAGGTGTGGGCGAGGAGATGCTTCCCTCAGAACAGCCGCCCGCCGCACACCCTGGCTCGGTTAATATACTTTTTTAATGTTTTTACTGCGGTGATTTCAGTGTACGGACCACCTTGCCAGCCACCAGTGGTGGAGGCTGAGTGTGAGGACCACCTTGCCAGCCACCAGTGGTGGAGGCTGAGTGTGAGGACCACCTTGCCAGGCACCAGTGGTGGAGGCTGAGTGTGAGGACCACCTTGCCAGGCACCAGTGGTGGAGGCTGAGTGTGAGGACCACCTTGCCAGGCACCAGTGGTGGAGGCTGAGTGTGAGGACCACCTTGCCAGGCATCAGTGTGGAGGCTGAGTGTGTAGGACACCTTGCCACCACCAGTGGTGGAGGCTGAGTGTGAGGACCACCTTGCCAGGCACCCAGTGGTGGAGGCTGAGTGTGAGGACACCCTTGCCAGGCACCAGTGGTGGAGGCTGAGTGTGAGGACCACCATTGCAGCCACCAGTGGTGGAGGCTGAGTGTGAGGACCACCTTGCCAGCCACCAGTGGTGGAGGCTGAGTGTGAGGACCATCCTTGCAGCCACCAGTGGTGGAGGCGAGTGTGAGGACCACCTTGCCAGCCACCGTGGTGGAGGCTGAGTGTGAGGACCACCTTGCCAGCCACCAGTGGTGGAGGCTGAGTGTGAGGCCACCTTGCCAGCACCAGTGGTGGAGGCTGATGTGAGGACCACCTTGCCAGCCACCAGTGGTGAGGCTGAGTGTGAGGACCACCTTGCCAGCCACCAGTTGGTGGAGGCTGAGTGTGAGGACCACCTTGCCAGCCACCAGTGGTGGAGGCTGAGTGTGAGGACCATCATGCCAGCCACCAGTGGTGAAGGCTGAGTGTGAAGGACCACCTTGCCAGCCACAGTGGTGGAGGCTGAGTGTGAGGACCACCTTGCCAGCCACAGTGGTGGAGGCTATGAGTGTGAAGACCCACCTTGCCACCCACCTGTGGTGGAGGCTGACTGTGAGGCCACCTTTACCAGCCACCAGTGGTGGAGGCTGAGTGTGAGGACCACCTTGCCAGCCACCAGTGGTGGAGGCTGAGTGTGAAGACCACCTTGCCACCCACCAGTGGTGGAGGCTGACTGTGAGGACCACCTTGCCAGCCACCAGTGGTGGAAACTGTGAGGACCACCTTGCCAGGCACCAGTGGTGGAGGCTGACGGTGAGGACCACCTTGCCAGCCACCAGTGGTGGAGGCTGACGGTGAGAACCACCTTGCCAGCCACCAGTGGTGGAGGCTGAGTGTGAGGACCACCTTGCCAGCCACCAGTGGTGGAGGCTGAGTGTGAGGACTACCTCGTCACTCACCAGTGGTGGAGGTTGACGGTGAGGACCACCTTGCCAGCCACCAGTGGTGGAGGCTGAGTGTGAGGACCACCTTGCCAGCCACCATTGGTGGAGGCTG